ATCAATTCTGTAGCTAAATATTGTCTGTCTCCAGGTTGTATGACTTTTGATATTTGTTATTTAGCTTCATACTTACAATAGCAAGAATGTTTGTAGGTAATTTTGGTGCTATTGGGTCATTATTGGCTTGTGGGAGGAAATATTTTTTTTGTTACTGGGTAATTATTTAAGGATTGGTTACCTCTATTAGAGTAGCTTGTGTTTAAAGCAAACAAACAAAAACATTGATTTGTGTTTTGTTTCATTCACACATAATTGGCAATTCTAGGACTGAAATCACTCAAATGATTCTAGTGAGGGTATATGAAGTTTAAAAACACTATGGTGCACATCCTGTATTACCAAGTGACATCCCAGGCCTTTTCTGTTTGAGAGAAGAACTCACTCTTAATATGCAGGATTTATGTGTTAAACATGTGTGAAAGAAACAACATTATAACATAGATAGGAAAATAGCCTAAGATGGACCCTTTAAAAAATAGCAAAAGAAATCATTTGAATCTAGTTAATAATCTAGTTTTAGAAATGTCTATGCAGGGACTGTCTGCCTTGGTTGGGGTCACTGCTCACTCTGCCTTTAGTTTCAGTTGCCATTTAGAGCAGAGTCACGCCTTCAGACAGCAGTTTTTCCCACATACCACAAAATCCATTGGCAATTAAGAACCATTACATACGTAACCATTACATAACCCGTGTTTACCACAAACTGCTTTTTGCAGCTTTTATGACAACATTTAAACACATAATTACACAAGTAATATTATCCCCTACAGTTGACAAGAAAAGGTCGAGATGGGTAGTTATATTTACTGAGTTACATTTACTTAAACAACTTTTTAAAGAAATTGTACATAAGAGTATTTTTGTTTGTTTTTATCATGTCCGTGGTCTATCATTTGAAAATACATTTTTTTTTACATTATTTTGAATTTTGTTCTGACAATTAAGTCAACTGCAAATTATAAATCTGATGTTGCATCCAAACATTACTCTTACTTGAGTAGTAGTTTGCAAAATACTTATTATTATTTTTTTTTTAATTATTATTATTATTTAAATTCTTACAGCTAATCCCCCCATTTAAAATTGGGTATGTTTGACCAGTGGATTAGCCAAGATTGGTATCAATCTGTATTTTAAAAAAATATATAATAAAAAATAATAATAATAAAATCAATTTAAATACAGAGATATGTCAATCTGTATTTTCCAGGCAAAGTTAATAATACAATTTTAAAATAACATTACTGTACCCACATCTGGTAAAAGGTGAACTGTACATATAATAATATGCATCAGCTTCAAGTAGTTCTTAACTTTAATTTCACAATTTAAAACAAAACAGCCAAAACAAAAACATCATAATCATGATGTAATCTTGACCAGCTAATGACATTACTTCTTGCTCTGGTCCTTATGAATCCCTGTGGGCTGGTTTGCTGCAGCTGGTTTTCAGCACCAAGGACAGTGCCCATTATAAACCCTGTGCTCTAGAGAAGAGAATTGATGGCACAGATAACAGGCATACTCAGCACACACAATCCATAGCCACAGGTGCACTGTTTCTTATGTCGACCTACTTACACTTTATACACGGGAACCTTTAGGCACTGTGATGGTACCAGCATTTCAGGAATGACTTGCTATATAAACTCTTGCAGTGTATTTTAACAGTATGTGTAAGTTTTTGAACAAAGCGTATAGAAGATTATATGTATTTATATCTCCTTTGTGGAAAATAAGTGTAGCTGTGGTAGTAATAGTAGTTATAGGTATATTTCAAGTACTTAATAGTCTTTCATATTAGAGTAATAGTATTTACAGTAAGTAGAGTACATTATTTTTCCACATCTTCTACACAGTACACAGTGTAGGCCTGTGTGCTGGCAGGAAAGCAGACTATGCAATTTACCACAAGGCTTGTGCTAATCCTGACAAAGCTATTATTTTGTAAACTGCTAGCATGGCCTTTATTTTTGCTTTTCAATTTCCAAGAATTAACACAGAACTAGGTCAGTGTGTGTTTATGGGGCAGTTACTTTTGAACAAATTCTCATCACACAAAAAAGTCAGATTAAAAAGCTTTATTCAAACTAGCATGATCAGGCAGAACATTTTACGCCAAATCAGAAACATCAAAAAGGGACATTTAACTGAAAAAAGCAAGGCCATTCTCTCCCCAAAACTTCTAATCTTCTAAAAGTGGCTTGATTATTACAATCTAAATAAATTAGTAGAATAACCTAAAATGTACACACATGAGAATATTTAGAGATCTAAAAGCACGTTCCTGTGCCATTCAGTCACAGTGAAGACAGATATATCAAAAACAGTATAAAAACACAAAGTAGAAAGCAGTTGAATGTACAATAAATGCATCTACCGGTTCTAATTCTGAACACAAATAACAAGGCTGAGCTCCTATTGTTTTAATACAGGGACAACTGTAACTGGGAAATAGACCAGTACTGTGCAAAAATGTAAGTGAGGTTTCAAGAAATTAAGAAATACTGTTCCAAAAATCCAATTGGTTTGGAAGAATAAAGAGCCAAGATTCTTAAATACTTTTTTTTTTTATATATATATATATATAAAGATCATTATGTCATAAATTTTCATTTTCATATTTGTTTCAGATTTAATTTTTGCCTTTTGGATATTTCATAGGAAAGTACAATAAAATCAATAAGAGAAATGTCTCTTGCCCACCATCTGAGAGTATGACATCATCATATTCTACAATCTGAAAACCACCAACAAACAAATTAGATTTTAACAGCCTTAAATCTCAGTCTTTTGCACAGCACTGAACTGTCCTTAATTTCATTCATTAGAAGTTAACAATGCAGAAGGCACGCAAGGAGCTCATCGCATGTGCAATTCTTTTCACACCAGTCTTGATTGCACATTATTGTACCCCAGGGCGAGTGTTTTCCTGATTAAGTGACATCCTCGGTCTGACAGGCAGTGCACTGTGTTGGTGTTACAGCCACACCAGGAAACTGAAGCTTGGGTTTCACTGACTCAGACTGTAGCCTGATACATCCACTCAGAACCACTGCATAAGAATACAGGCAGCTCACATCACATTTACAGACCGATCTGTGCATTCTGGTTGTAGAGTGCAGACCACCTGCTTTAGACTGGCCTCTAATGTAATACTTCTATGTTCAGTAACACCACAAGGGTTTTGTTGTTTAGCACCTTATTTGTAATCATAACTAATAGTGGACAGAGGTACAGTCATGTCATTTGAAGATGGTATTTTTTATTATTATGGGGCACTGAAGGCAGTTTGATCACTGTCAGTATTAATGTTACTCTTGACCTGGATATAGAGATTGAGTGGAATTACGAAGGAGACAAATCACAATTTACTCCTTATGTGAAATGTGCTCTTTTCCTTGCACCATTACTTTAAATATGTCCATATGAATGATATTCTGTGCATAAAGTTATGTCTGATCTATGTAAGTTAAATCAAATGCCAATAACTTTATAGTCAAGCTTCTAAGAGCAAGCCTTGCCTTTTCCCTCTGTCCACTATTCCTACTGCATAAGTTTTCTTTTTAAAAGCTCCTTGTTTTTTTATTAACACAAATCTGGCCTTTTCTATAGTGCAATATAGGTGCTACTCTTGAGGTCAACAAAGGTCGAGAAAAATACTTAATATTAGTAATAATAATAACACTGTCAAAAACATCACCAAACTACAAATACGCAACACAAAATGCCCTTGAAGAAGCTCACAAAAGCAGCATAAAATCTGATACATAAAATATTTATAAAAACAGTCATTAACAACACTTTATGTCTGGACCTTATCGTACATGATAAAAATTGTATTACAAAAGTTTAGTACCTTTTTTTTTATTACTGATTAGCTTGGTGACGGTTGAAAGCAAATATTTTTTATTAGTTTTGTAAGTTCGTGTTGTGAAATTTATAAACCAATATTTTTTTTTCATGATGTAAAGAGATTTGGATTTTTAAAAATCCATTTATATACTATATTTGAATAAAACCTTTTTTTAAGAAGTAGAATTATTGCGGTCTGCTCTGCCTATTGCAGTCAGGCATAAAGCTAATATTTCTAAATAAATTATGCACCTGATATTTTTTAAGGGTGTGCGTTTCTTTCTGTTACCTCATTTTCTTTTCTTTACAATCAACTAAATCAAACAAGACACTTGAAAACTCACTATTTAAGAATGGTAATGAAAACTGAACCACTTGTTATTTTCTTACCAGTAACACTATGAGTCTTAAGACTTAAAATGTAGTGAAAATGCTTTGTATAAAATATGTCAAATCAATATCACTAATGTCTAAGCACTATTACCAGCTACAGTTTTATGGAGTATTTCACCCTGAATCATGTGGAAACATGACCTTAACAATGAGGGATATCTATCACTAAAGAATGCAAGGTGTGTCCGAACTTTTACAGTGTACTTTTTGTTTTCTCTGTGCAATTGAACAAGATGTGAGCACAACTTTTTTGTTTTGTTTTGTCCAATGTAATTAAAACATGTGGTGTCAGTACTGCCACCAACACACATAAGCCTTATACTGAGATATTATGTTAGAAAAACAGGACCTGCATAATCTTGGGATGCACTCGTAAAGCTCTTTATCTAAAGAGGCCAAGAACTTGCTATCCCACTTTTCTAGAAAGTCTATCACAAATGCACAAATGAGGGTAAAAGCATTACCATTGAAAATCGATCTCCTCTTACTTTATGGACACACCTTGTATGTAAAGCTGGAGAGAAGGCAGCACTTCTCTGGTTAAGGAATGACAGCATGAGGCCACTTTTGGAATGTCCAGGATTTCTGCAATACACTATTTGATGCCTGAATATTGTAGAGCCATGCAGATTCATGCTTAATCTGAGATAAGAATGGGTCGAATTGTTGATGATGGAGGGGACAGGGGGAGTTGGGTGGGCAGCTGTGGTACGTCTTCAGTGTGAGTCACCAGTGAAGAGGTGATTATATCATGGCAGTTCTCTTCTGGGGCCCTGCGCAAAGAAACACAACATATAATCAGCCCAAAAAAGGAAGGCAAACTCCCCCAAACTCACAGAAAGTCCTCTCTCATGCAACACTGGATCCTGACTGGTTACTGCCACTGTAAGTGTAATCCAAGCATTTTAGAACAAGGGTTTTTGCAAACATTTGGAGAAATTTGCGGGAGTTGATATAAAATTAGACAACTAAACACAGAAACTAAGATAGAAATCAAGAGATTGAAAATTAAATGCATAGCACAGATTTTTGAGTGGGCTGTATTGGGTACTTTGTTTTGTGATACGATAAATTGAATGAGGAAAGAGAAACAAGAAGTAAACTTTATCTGGATTTCTGGTTGTGGTCTGCCATCTGCTTGTTTCCACTGAGAGGTTACTGCTTTGTCTGTAATGTCCCACAGTATGGCATTCAGTCTACATCTTGCTTGTATTTATTTGATCTTTTTATTGCTTAAAAGGAAAACATTCAAGCTTTTTTACTGTAAGTGGAGTCATCTCTTCTGAGATCTGACCTATAACTTGGCCTGCTGGCTTCATCATGGAGATAGATGAGTGAAACATTTCAGGAAAAGTAGTAACGTCTCCATGGAGATCAAATGTTAAAAACACAAGAACTATTAACCATAGCTAGGTAATGGTTTGTATTTCTTTTGTATTTCTTGACAAGGTAAAACAAATGTACACACAAATTACTGTTGTATTAGACAGAATGTGTAAAGAATAGAGATTTAACACTACATTTTGCTATATATTTTACCAAAATTATTTTAGTTTTCCTATTTGACCAATCAAAAATTCTCTTTCTGTACTTCTTTCTCCTTCTCCATACTTCAAATTGTTATAGTACCTAAAACAATCCACAAAAAAAATCTGATCTATTATAGTAAACGCATGCACAAACAGGCACTTGGTGTTTGGTGGGGGCCAGTAGAATAGAGTATGTGACACTTCTATGTGATGGCCACAAATAAATCTATCATGGTCTTCCATTCAGAGATTTATGAACCATGATATGTTGTTTCACTCTCAGGTGCACTGTGCTCTGAGAACCTATTCCGGAAAAATCATTCCTTTATCTTTTTTTCTATTTGTGCCATTACATTGTCTTGAATCTGGGCCAAGCAAACCAGATGTGCGCCACAAAAATCTGACTGGCAGCCAATTCCAATTCTAATCTGTAAACTGAAAGGTTTTCTCCCTTGAAAAACTGTGGCCAATTCGGATTTTATTGCAACCAGAACATACTGTATATTGTATTGCTCTAACTTAAAATGACCAATTTGTCTGCTATTTTTAGACCAAACCAAAATTATTAGTAAATACAAAAGTGTAAAAAAGAAAATTATAGTGGCTCTACAAAATGTAGTTAGCAACCAGCATACCTCCAGTTGTCGGGTGGACTTCCTTTCATTTTGAATACTTTAGAACAGAAAGAAAAGACAAATTGAGTTGAACAAGTGAACGACAATAGCCAGATATACACAGGCGTCCTCATGCATATTCATATTGTTTAATCTTTCAGTGCAACACTTGGTTGAGTTTAGGCTGCAGGTCCATCTGTAGAAACACAAACAACATCTGCTGTAAAACTCTGCTGCTCTGTTGGTTTGTTCAGATCTGTATGTGAAGAGGCAACATTGGAGATGCAGTTTATCTCATGTATGGCAACATCTTTTGTCCTTGATTCATAGCTCTGCAGGCTGCGATGCTTTGAAGTTGAGCGCCTCTCACGCCCACTGGAGAATGTCTGTTTACTCCCTGTGCATCTGTAGCACCTACACAGGCACGGAGCTGGCACAGGTGTAATTTGGTGGCATTTTGACTACATTCAAACAGTTTTTTCTCTTTTCTGGTTGCTTTTGATCATGGTTATCCACTGTGTGTAGTAGAAGCCAATTATGTTTGTAACATCACTCTACATGACACACTGACCTCATTCTTCAGCTTCATTTGCATGATTTTCTTACTACACTTGAAGAGTTGTGCTAATAGTAGTAAATCTTGACCAGCAAAATACTAGGTGTAATATCAGTACGAAATGCAATAATGTTGCATGTGACATTTCTTTTTTGTTTTTCAGTCTGGTGTGACAGACCATATATATAGAGAATATATCTATATACCTATACAGAATTTAAAATATGATTTATTTGTGCAGTAGATATTTAGATAATTTTAATGTATACACATAGTGCATTGTTTCCTAAAGACAGGGTAAAAACATATTATTTTTAAAGGTCAGTTATTTGGTGCAATATAAAAGTATATTGTTGTAAAGTAATAGCAAAATTCTTTGCTTTTACAAACTGCTCCATATACTTTCATGAGCTGTGCTAGACAGAAGACAGAATTAACATGCTAATTAGGTAATGTCATGCCATTTAAGAATGTAAATGTGCAGACTGAACATAAAACCTAAGCATACAAACCTCCAGTGTGGATGCTCTGGAGTCCGTCTCACTGGGGCCTATGCTCCGGGGTATACTGGACACAAAATAGCCTCCTTTGGGGATGATGGGCTGCCTCACCACCACTTTCCCCTTCCTCGTCTCAGCCAGGAACAGGCTGTACCAGTAGGCATCACTGGAGATCAGGGTCGAATCTGCGATGGTAGAACTTCTCTGACTGATGACGCTATTTCTGCTAATCACACTGTTTCTGTTAGCATTTGGTGGGATCTTGATAGCTTTGGGCTTTGGTTTCTGACACTTCAAGACAATTATAACCAGGATGGTGATCAACAGCAAGAATGACACAGCTCCTAGTCCGATCACCAAGTACAAGTTCAAGTCTGTGAACATGTCATATTCAATTGGCAGCTCAGTGGTTTCTGAAAACGACATCACATTTTCTACAGTTGAGATCTTGATGGTCACTGTAGCTGACAAAGCGGGATCACCGTTATCCTTGGCAACAATGACTAATCTTTGTTGCCTTGGATCTCTATAACTGAACATCCTTGTTGTTCGGATCTCTCCATTGTACTGGTCCAAGCTGAATAAAGAGGCATCTGTGATTTGTAAGAGTTGGTATGTCACTCTTGAATTCTGCTCTGAATCAGCATCAATGGCGATAACTTTAGCCACTAGATGCCCCTTATCTGTAGATCGAGGTATTACTTCTTCCACGATAGATCCTTGAGCTCTCCATGGTGACACTATAATGGGAGTGTTGTCATTTTGATCTTGTATGATAATATGGACTGTCACGTTACTACTAAGTGGAGGAACACCAGAATCTCTTGCCTCGATGTGGAATAAGAAGTCCCTTTCTCTTTCATAGTCGAATGTCTTTAATGCGTAAAGATCTCCGTTTTCTGGATTGATGGAAAACAGCATGGACATGGATGTGTTAACAATCTCTTTTTCCATTATGAAGTAGACTAAATATTGGTTTTCATTCAGATCTGGGTCATGAGCGCTGAGAGATGTCAATAAAGCCCCTGGTACATTATTCTCCACAACATGGATGGTGTAAAAAGGCTGAGGGAATGTGGGTGCGTTATCATTGATGTCTAGAATGTCTAAAATTATTGTTTCATTTTCAGATAGGGGTGGGTTGCCTTTGTCTGTGACCATTAGAATTAGTTCATATTTGCTTATCATTTCTCTGTCCAATGGTTTTGAAACTATTAGCTCATAAAAGCCCTCAGAAGTTTTGTTTAGGAGTAAAGGTAGTGTTGCTTGTTGGCTCAAAGTGAGTTCGACCACACCATTGTCTCCTGAGTCCTGGTCTCTCACTGTTACGACTGCAATAAGCGTGCCAATGGGGGTGTCTTCACTGACAGCGTTTTTCACAGACTTGATGGTGACTTCAGGATAGTTGTCATTGAGGTCTTTGACATAGACCGTGACTTTGCAGTGTCCTGACAGCGGGTTGGTGCCCCGGTCCTGCGCTTGGATGTGCATCTCAAAACTTTGACTCTCCTCATAGTCTATGACGCCTTTCACCTTGATCTCGCCCGTGTGCTGATCGAGCGTAAAGATCTCCTGGGTTTTCTCCGAAGTGTACAGTGTGTACGAGTATAGCAGCTCTGCGTTCGTGCCTTGGTCCAAGTCTGTCGCATTTAACACCATGACCACAGTGCCTGCAGCAGAGTTCTCGGAGACATTGACTGTATATACCGGCTGACTGAAGAGGGGGGCGTTGTCGTTGATATCCAGGACATTGATAATGATGCTCGCTGTACCGGAGCGGGGAGGCACCCCTCCATCTACTGCCGTCAAAATCAGATTATGAGCTCCCTGCTCCTCTCTGTCTAGATTCCCATTTAGCACCAGATCTACATATTTAGAGCCATCACTGCCAGTTTGGATGTCAATGTTAAAGAATTTGCTCTCACTCAGATGGTAGGTCTTGACTGAATTGGCGCCCACATCTGCATCTACAGCATTTGTCAATGAAAATCTCTCCCCGGGAGGGGTGGCTTCCGAAATGTCCAAATTCATTGTCTTTCTACGAAACACAGGCTCATTGTCATTAATGTCCATTATCTCTAGCTCAATGTTAAAAATACGAATGGGATTCTCGAGAATGACATCCATTTTTAAGAAACAAGACGTGGTTTTAGAGGTGCAGATGTTTTCCCGGTCTATTTTCTCACGTATAATCAACTCACCCGTGTCTCTTTTGATGTCAAGGTAATTCTTACTGTTCACAAAATCGAGCTTCGCTTCACGTTGCGTCAGTGTGCGGACGTCCAAACCCAGATCCGTGGCCAGATTAGCAACAAAGGATCCCTCTTCCATTTCCTCCGGTATGGAGTAGCGAGTGATGGAGAGCGCACAGCCCCATAGTGCAATAAGCGTGAAAGCCGTTACCATCCAACGTGTGCGTAAAGGTGCATGCAGAAGCGCCATTGTAACGCTTTGATTCAGGACAGGTCTCAATGATGAAAAACTCCGCGTAGATCAGACCGTGTGCATGTAGGACAGCGCCGGTGTCATCGCCCCCACGCCTCGGAGCTGGAGCTGCAGCAGGCCATACACAGCGCGCACTACCGCTGGAGGTGCACGGCTCCACAGCAGGGGCGGAGACGGCGCTGTACCACTGATGGTGACACAACGAACAAAGCCCCCATGCACAACTAAGTCCCTATACTGTACAGAGGGTCGGTCAATATGTTATATTATATTATATTATTACAGACTATTAATTGTACATCATATGTACATTTTTATTAGCCCAATAAAAATAAACTGCTTATCAAATGGCCAGTTACTCAGCTTTAGTTTTTACATTTTATATTATATGTCTCTCTTGAGTAAGTGTTGAGTAATGATGAGTAATTTATTAGTTCATTTGTAATATAAATTGTATTAATGTTATTATAGGCCAATTGTTTTCAAAGTAACAATAGTCCCAGATAGTGTGTTTTTTGTGTGTGCAAAACCACAAGGTGATGTATAACTAGCATTTAAAATAATGAAAATGTGCCTTTGAGCAGGCAACACAGCACAATAAGGCAGCCACGTTTTTGTCAGACAGTCACAGGGGAGGAAGTAACTTACAACTATTAAACTGACTCAAGATTTAAGGAAGGAACAACAGTATATTTCGCTGAATATGGTTAAGGCTGAATAAAATAAAATAAATAAAAAAGTTGCGTTGCTTTTGCGTGTTTAAGTCTTTGTTGTCCATCTGGGTAGAGTCACGTCTGTGGTGAAGATGGTCTTTTACAGGCTTTACACTGGCTCCATCCAGTGGTCATTTGCAGTACGACATAATTGCCTAAGCTTAATGAGCTTTTAAGTCCTTGTCATCAAACGTCTTCAATACATAAATAAATGAATGAATATAGGTTACTACAGTTAAGGCTGGTGATTATGTTAAAATATATCTGTTTACTGTTACGAATGCCTTTGGGCTGTTTAGAGATTGCTGATACCTTAGATCACAACATAGATGACTAAATAATTAAAAAAATAATCCAATTTTAAACAAATTTAAATCTAGCCGATTTTAACTGTTTGTGACACAGTAGGGTGACAAAATATATACACGTGTGTCAGAGTGATGAAAAACTGACATGCAGCCATAATAATTAACAATTTAAAATGGAATAGCCATTTAAACGGTCAGGCCCACAAAATTTTGCCTATGAACAGGAAACTGAAACTCATCAATAGTTAGCATTCACATTATCTGTTTGAAAAAGTACCAAAAATCAGTTATAGTAGCCTGCGTTGTTGGTGTTTTAAATAGAAATGTTCAATCACTCAATCTGGGTTGCAAGTACCTGCAGATAAAGGACACATACAAAGTTTTCTAATTCTCTTATGGATAGGCCATGTGAAAAGTCTGAACCTTCACAGTCCACTCACTGAGCTGTGGAGGCAGCACAAGCACTGAATACTGACTGACTGCAGGTACTGGGGTTTAGGTAGTGAAAGATTCAGATCAGAGAGTCTTTTAAGGTTTAAACAAATTGGAATTCAGCATTGAAACTGGAGCCTCAAATGAGAGACTGATGTGAGGCTTATTCTGCTTCTAATTGTGTGATCATTTTGAGAAGATCTTGAGAATCAAAACACCAAATTAAATCAAATAAATGGGGCATCCTATTGCTGTCTTTAAGAAAGAGTCAGCATTGTGATTTTTATCACTAAATTCTATATTTGTTTTCAACATGTTTATGTATGTGTGAACATATTTTCATCATGTTTAAGGAATTTCAAATAAATATCTTGCATACAGTGTACTAAAGTGAGGTCAAGCAAAGGACATTCAATATGTGGGTGCCCCCTAGTGGCTGATGAGGGCCTGTATTTATTTGCAGAACCTGTCTAGCCAAGAAATGATGATTACAATTAAAACAACAAATAACTTATACCATATTCCATTATTTACCCTAAATCAACATTAGTTTTAACCTGCATATATTTTATCATTGGACCAGCCTTGAGATGCATACATTCATGTCTTCAATAGGCTGCTGCCGTAATTCATTTGAAGAACCAAACTTGAAAGCACTCTGAAGTATAAATGTATTTTATCTTAACTGTCCTGGATTTTCTATTCCCTTTAGCATCTGGGCTCTTGTTTTTCTTAAGGGCCTTGGACTTAGATTCTTGGCAGGTCCTCTCTACCATTGGCTGTCTCCAACTGTCTTTGTAGTCAGCCTCCCCCAGCATCTACAGGGACTTGAACATGTGGCACCCTTCCATCAGCACATAAGAAAGAAGGCCCAGAGCATTCTCAGTATGACAGACCAGGAGGATAGCCTGACAGAAAACATAGTACATTTATGCCAATGTTAATCAATTCTAAAAAAAATATAAAAAAGTAGATCTTGTGAGATTTCTTTTCCCATCTGTTATGTTTTGCTTGAACAAAAAGAGTTAATGTTGGTGGTGAGTTACACCTCTTGTGAAACTGTAGTTCTCAAAAGCAGTGCTATAATGGCAGAAATTCACTCATATAGATGTGTTTTTATTCCTGTTGAATATTCCAGACAAGCAATAACATTAACATTGCATCCCACGCTTAATGTATATATATCATAACAGAGTTAGATAGACAGGGAGCTAATTAGGCTTTGAAGCTAAAGACAGATGCTGGCCGTAAACACAATAATGCAGTTGGGACAGGGTTTATGACCTAATTTAAGAATATGCTAATATTGAAACAACAATGAATAAATCATCATATCACTGGCCCCCATTTTATGCTTATGTGCATAATTTCCAGGCCAGTGTTAAGTAAGAGGGACTTAAAGTTGTTACACCAAAATCCAATAATCCACACATTTTTAAAAGCAGACTTGAGGTCACACTACACTTTATAGTCATCACATATCAGTCAAATATAATATTACCTTCTATAGATTACAACAACACAAATAGTATTTAACAAATAGCAAACGTTTGCACAAATACTGGTGCTGTATTAGAGCTCCCCCTAGTGGCAGCACATACATAATTACTGTAAGCTGTGGTCGAGTGGGGTAAAATATAAAAAACAAACAAACAAAAAACGTAACTCTCTCAATTCTCTTTCCTCACTTCCTTCTCCTTGATTCCTGTCCTTGATCCTCCATTTTTCAGCTGTCAATCAAATGTGTCATATTAAATGGTGTCCCAAAGAAAAACACGGAATGAAGGAGTAAACATGAGGGAGGCAGACATCAGATAAAATTATCAATCTGTATTGGTCTCAGTGAGGAGTTTATATCCTCCCTCCTTCTTGTGTCCCCTCTGTGGGTGGGACTTCCTCACCCATTTCCTGTAGGACTGAGAAGAGGAAAATCAAGGAGCAGGAAGTGAGGAAACAAAAATGAGACACTACCTCCCATGGCTGCTGTTGCCCCTGGCCTCTCGTGCTGTTCATCCTGCTCTTCTCCCTCTGGGCTGTAGACTCCTCTCCAACTCCTCCAGTGTCCTCTTTTTAAATGCCAGTTTCTGATTGGTTAAAGGGTTCACCAGGTGGACACACAGTAAAAGCCATTTCAAAATAAAAGCACACAATTACACGCACAAATTTACAAATAAAATCACTACAAAAAGTGCTTGTGCATTTTCACGTGAACATTATTATATCAATTTTTGTTCAATATATGATAGAACTAACAATAATTTTTTAGCTCAGTTTTTATTGTATGTACCCTTTTTTTTGCACTTTTGAACTTTTCAAGATTTTTTGTAGTACAATCAGTAGAGAAATGAGTAACTTCTATGACTCATTATCAACTCCAGCTGAGTATTTCATTGTGCTATGTATTTATTGCAGCTCATGCTTTTTTTTTAACAGTACTGAACATTAAAATGTGTTGTTGTGACAGGCCTATTTTTTGTATGGCTGTGTAATTTAACTGTTTTCTAAAAATGTTTAGTAAGCCTTAAGATCAAAGTTGGCCAAAACATTTTCATTACATGTCGATAATGCAAATATTTCACATTAGCCTTTTACCTACAACTATTAGTTCCCTGTTAACTGTTTGCAATGGTGATTCTGCAGTGGTATCCAAAGCTGCAGTGGGTATTATCAGAATGATGTGTTGTTAGGGGGTGTTAATGCTTAACCTGAATGTTTAACAGTATTATATGCATATACAAACATATTTAATTTCAATAGGTATTTTTACAGCTGAGAACTATCTGACCGGTAATTCTGCTTGTTTAATGTCACACTGTGGAATATTCAGGCATAGGAGTAAGCAGGTTGTTGACCCTCCACCAGAAAAGCTGTGTAGTGCACCTTTAAGGATCCAGGTTTAGAAACGAGTTAAGACAGACAGTAGTGTAAATATTTTAGCATAAATATAGAACTTTGACTAATTTATCTATCTCTGTGGTGTGTAGTGAAAAACAACCAGAATGAAATATAATGTCTCTTTTAAGTAAACACTCCCACATTTTAGTTTTACTGGGAATTATGAATTTTAGCCATTGCTGTAGGATGGGCTGAAAGGACAGTTTATAAACCATACTGCCATTGTGTCTTTCAGCAAGACACTTCACCCTCCTTGCCCATGTGTGGTGCTGAGATAGATTGGTGGTCATTAAAATGCTGATTAAACAGAACTGGAGGACAGGTCAGAATCTTTTGGTAGAATTTGCTGTCTAGACATCAGATTGCAAATTTGTTGTCCTGGTTTTTGAATAATATCTCTCTAATTAAAAACCACACAACACTGGCACGACAACATCTTCTCTATCAGTATAAATAAACACAAGCGAAATTAGTTTTTCATAATTACTTCAGAAAGTGTTGCCATGATTCAAAATCAAAGCCAAGACAGACTGTTGTTGTGACAAAAGACTTGAAGACATAAGATTAAGAGGGCAAGTGTGTGGAGCCAATCCATAAGGTTTATCATTTGTGGATTTTCATTGGGATATTTCTTTCAAAAACATCTGAAATTATAACTTCATCAAATTCTATTCATGGATTTCAGATTCCTGTTATGCGCAACATTTAAGGATTTTTCACCATATAATTAATTTTAATTTATTATTCACTTTTAATTATGAAAAAAGTCATGGCAACACTTGTAATTTTCACCTATTTTTCAGCCTATTATATATATTATTATTGCTCTTGATTGTTGTGTATTTCCGTTTTTTTCTCAGTGGGTCAGTGGACTGTGATTAACCCTGTGCTGTACTGTGGCCTGTGGCTGCAGATCTTGTGGATTATCTGGGCAGCAGCAGTAGTGCTATAAAGCTGAGGGTTTACTCCACTGAATGTCAAGAGTGAAGGTTAAATGACACTGTGAGCCGTAAGTCACACCACAACAATAACACCCGCTCCTTCATCATCCTCCTCCTCTTCGTCTCCTTCCTCACAGGGACCAGCCCTAAGCTGCACTTGTGAATCTGAGCGCAGGGATTAGATGTAATATAACCTCCTGATCCCATCGCCGCAGATAAATTGGAAAATGCCCCTCCAATGTCAGGCCAAATTGTGCACAGGGTTAATACTTTGTTTCCACCCAAAAATGACTGGGGAGGTCTAAGCCGTCTTGAGCCAAATCTCCACCATCTGTGTGCAAACTGGTTTAATCACTAAGAAGATATCGGCTCCAGATGCTATAGGCCAGACAAGTGTGGAAACAGGAAGTGTATGTTCAGTAACTAAATTCATGATGGAAAAGATTTGATGGAAGTAGTATTGAATATATATTATTAAAACCATTCTGGTTTGTTTGACACATCACTATATTTAGAATATGTGCCTTTGCTTCTGGGATATTTGTCACTGGTGTCCCATTTCAAAATGTGTTTGTTCATTGCACTGGTATAACAAAATACAATATATCTGAATAACAGTGGCAGAGAAGAAAATACTTGTTCATTCCTTCTCTCAATACAGTTTGTAGTACATTCTTAATGCATTGTGGAAAACGTAACATCTCTTGTTTTTGAAATCTGTAGTCAAATGAGCAAAATATTGTGTTTTTCTGTGTCTGGAGCTCATCTCATCTTAACAAATGCATCAACAACTCATGAAGGCATAATGCTTGGCTTGGAATTTTCCATGAACTACAAATTTTGAACATCTAAATTTCCATATTGGGGATTGGGGACTTTACTCAAATCCCCATTTCCCAGCATCTTCATAAAGCATTATTAGAAAACAATACTGAGAATCTGACTAACAACAGATGCTAAAAATAGTTTCGGTCAATCAGTTTGTCTTTAGCGTTGAAAGTGATCTTTGATGCATGTTTGCAGCTGATATGGGCAAGTAAGATGTGAGCTGTGAAGATATGAATAGTAATTAGTTGTTTATGCTACGCTCTTAATTTTTAAAGCAATAATCCACAAATGAAGCCACACTACACACAATGTGTCATGTGCATTTGAGTTTGGCTGACCACTGTTTCTCCAAGTATAACACTTTTAAGACCACACCTAATTTGGGGTAAATTAGAAACCTACCCAGTCTGAACATAGAATTCAAAAAGACAATATTCATAATCATGCTACAAAATTCATTTTGCTGCACCATGCTAATAAATAAATAATCCTCAGCATTTTCTACATTAAAATTGGAGTTTTTGAGGAAAATAAAAGACAAATTAATGAGCTACGGTTGCAGAACTTGAAATAGACAAGTGCATGGATATACACAGACTTAATTGTATATACAATATTTAATGCATACTTTATACATACATACATACATAATGGTCATACAAATTATAAATAAATATAATGTACTTAAATAAATTATGTTCCTTTACAATATGCTGACATTGTGAAAACAGTGCATCCAATACTTGACAAGACATTATTTTACTATGGAACTATCGACATACAGCAAACACAGAAAAAAGTTATGTGTTGTTGAAACTCATGCCATAGAGAAAGAAGCAATGTTTTGTGTATCAAATAATTTTTCTTTACAAAATAATGAATACAAACTCATGTGAACATTCTGTTTACACTTGTATTTCTTTAATTATATACATTCCCATAAACACCAGGGTCAAATTTAACACAGTATTTGGAAAGCAGGATGCTAAATGTGAAATGTCCAGATTGAAATAATGTGGATTACACTGTGTGTTTTTTTTTTTTTTTTGCCTACATACGTCTTTGTGAATAGCAACTACTTAACAATTTCATTCTGAGCTTTTATGCAAAAAAATAATAATAATAATAATTGCATTTTATATATATATATATATATATATATATATATATATATATATATATATATATATATATATATATATATATATATATATATATATATATATATATATATATATATATAATTTTTGATTAAAAAAATTGCATGAATAATTTGTGACATTGGTCGTGAAGGAACCTGGCCACTTTGCAATCACAGCTCCCCAAGTGAAGTACCAGTAATTCAACAATTGCAAAAACAACATTTAACTTTGATTCGTGTTTAGTGAATATGATTTTTTATTATTTAATAAAGAGAATTTGGAAAACTGTTTCTGTTTTTCTTATACAACAGTGGGTACACAATTCTCACTTTCAAATCAAAGCACTTTCTCATGCAAGTTTTTCCACTCCTTCAAGCTCTCTTAAAGGTCAGAGCCTCTTCTTAGCTTCTTTTTCATTTGACAAAAATAAATTCACTGCATTGGATATCAAATTTGAAAGTATGTGTCTACTTTTCTTGTCACAGCAGCCTGCAATTCTATCCTTGAACTACTTAAATATATCATTGCTTATGAGTCCATTGTCTTTGTCGAATGTTTGCTCATAGTTTGAGATTAACCTCTTTTTCTTGCCAAAAGTAGAGAAGCTGTTATACACGTCCAGCTCTCCTCTGGGTGCCAGTTTCAGGGTGCTATAGCCAGATGTGGTGCCAGGGATGTACACATTGTGCTGGTAGTCTGGCTCTTCCGAATTTGGCTGTGCGTATTTTGGCGTCCATGAGTAGTTGGAGACGCTGGCTTCTTGAAGAGATAACTTGCAGTCTGTCAAAGAAATACAAACGCATGAATATTGAGATTAATCCTACCTCATTTGCATACAGTGTACTTCATTTAAATACAGGTTTTAAAGTATCTGGCTTTTAAAAGGGAGCTTCTTACAGTGACTAAAATAATCCTTTTGTTGATGCATTAAAATCCCCATTCCCTTGTGGTGCCTGGCATTATCTGCATTTACCATTTCACTTTTAAACTAAATCCTTCACCAGGCACTCAGCGGACACCCCACCCACCCAGCCCCCTTCCCTCCCCAGTTGAAATACTATAAGCCTTTTTTTTTAGTCAGACCTTTCATATGGGAGCCCCAGGTCCAATACTGCGGTGCAACGGAGCAGGAAAAGCTGTCGGCGTCATAGTTCGGTTGGCGTGAAAGAGTAGCATCCATATTGGCTGTACTATATCTGTAATGAGACAATAATAGTAAATAAATAACAATACTATTATATATGTTATAGTGATAATGTATGGTGCAGTGGATAAGTTTCAAAGATAATATGGGCGCACCTTTTGTAAGCAGAGTTGCGTTCGTTTTTTGTCCATGTCCAATCTTTGTTTGAAGATTTTAGCTGTAAGAGACAAGCGTTGCAAGTCAGGCACAAAATAAACATTTCAAATATAAATTTTATGATGATAATATTGTGACTGGAATAAACATCAGTACTATTTTTTCTTTCATATACACCGAAGCTTAGTCCATAATATAGACTAACAGAATCACAGAAATAATAGGAGCAAGTCTGCACAACAAAACACAGATTTGTGGTTTATGGCACTTTAACTGAGTTCTTAACACTTTTTATATACACTATTCAATTTGCAAGGTGCTTGCAAACTGTCATGCATAGTAGGCATATTTAATCATAAAACTTGTAAAGCACATTGTTGTTAGTTCCTCTGGCAATGAGAAATCTGTAGTATCTCAAGAATGTTCACAATCCTCATATAATGCCTCAAGGACAATTCTAGGCTAGCTGTCAAGTGTCAACATATCTGAGAAGTCATAATTTGTAGCCCATAGAATGCATAGACTATTGTTTGGTAGTACATTTTATATATTTTGCATATTTTTCTCTCAAAGCAAACTCCCTCTTCACAGATCAACCATTCTCTACTTTTTCTAACATTGTCTTGCTGTAGACTAGTTAAGGCTGCCAGGTTATTAATTGGCTTCAGGGATATTCTTATGTGTATTGATGTGCTGCAGTTTCTCAGGGTTTGGCAGCTACAATTGAACAGGAAAAAAAAGAAAATAACCATCTGGTAATTGTAACACACAGCCTGAAACTAATCTTTATACAGAAGGCTTTTTTTTCTACAAACAATATTGCACTAGGCCAAGAGAGTCAAATAAAAGTGATTTCTGCCCTGAGAAGTTGTTGAATTTTTAATGAACATTCTGCATTTTTGCTTTTTATTTTTGCCCTTAAAGCACTGCAGTGTTAGGGTGTGAATACTGTTGTTTTGTTTGGTTCAGAATCAATTGGACTAGTGGCTTTTAAACACGAATATACTTTCATTTAGTTCAGTTTTAAAGGTCAAAAACTCTCATGCGACAAACCAGTCAAAGCAATCGTCTACACTACAGCAATGCTAGAAATTGCAATTTGTCATAATGTTGTATTAAATGGCAACTTATTTTTGTCTTTGTTTATTAGAAAACCCAACTGTTAATCAGCTTATGTGACTAATATGAGTTTTGGTCCTGCTTTTTCCTCAAATATCTCCCTTGTCACCACCACACCTTTAATCCCCACCACCACACACCCAGTATAGACAGGGATTATCGGCCCTAACTGTGGGATGTGTTGTCACAGTGTGCAGAGATGGCTGGGTGCTTCGGAATTGTTCATTGAGTTGCAAAATAGTCACAGCATGATTAGCTTTGCACACAAAATCCAGTTAGGAATTAAAGCGTTTGTCATAACCTGTCAGTGAAGCTACGTGAATCATTTTTAAGGACAATAATACCCATTTGGCAAAGCACGGTAAAGTTTTGGCAAGGTTTTTGAATGTTGTTTAGCAGATATTTAAATTCAAGGCACTAACTGACCACACAATGTGTTCATTGTGGTGTGAAGCCAAGAACAGGGCCTGTATTCAGTAGTGTAAGTGGCTAAAGTAGTGTGTGGAAAGGAGGTTTTACGAAAGGTTATGACCAAAAAATTATTTGTAAAATATACAAGCAGTCCAGGTGGCTGGACTCTGAATTAATTTTTATTTAATGAAAAAAAAAAAATGCACACCGCATTTTACACATATAGTGATTTTAACTATGTTTTGTTATTTTATTTTGCTTACTCTACATATGCTGGGTTAGATTTATGTTTCACTATCTGTAATCTAGGGTTTTCATCATAGACCAACGTCAAAATAGACCCATAATCTAATTGATGCAAAAGCAGAAGCAGTATCAAATCTAGGCTCATGTGAGCAAGAGTCTTGATCTATATCACATCTAGATCACATGGAAATATTAAAGAAACTACTGCTACTTTATGTTGAAGATTACATTCTACTGTCTAAATAAAAACATATATACATCATTGTGGTATTTATATTGTTATCAAGCCTTTTCCTAAGTAAAGAGGAAATGAACCTCACTCCTTGTAGTTAATGGGCAAACGTCTTTACAATGCTGAACTACTGCAGCTCCATACAAAATAACAAATGTATCATCTTCTTAATGGGATATAAATTGCTATATTTGCTGAAACAATGTCTTCATCTTTTAGAAGTTTCACATTCATTTTTGACATTCTGACTCTCCTCCTTTTGCTATAGTCACTCCCCCCTTCAGATCTATCACATTACAATCAGGACGCTTTCCACCAATGAAACTACTACATCTTGCATCAGGTTTGTCAAGTTGTTGTGTAGAATTTTGTATAATGGTTTTGTTTATTTATGGAAGATTGTTATGTGGAAGCACAGATGACGCAGGGTTGTGGGCTGAGCATTGCATAGAATCTTACAGCTAACCGTCAGGAGGGTTAGACTGTTAAAATACTCAAAACATACATAGATGACAACTAAAACCTCTTCAGCCCTGTTTTTGCTAAGGCAACAATGTTATAACATTGTACAAAACTGAAAAAAAGTTGATTTTGCATAGCACTCCCTCTTTGACCTAATGTTGCTGCACCAGTATGTTTTCAGCTGATAGAATTTGCCATACTCACCTCATTTGGAGATGGTGAAGTGTTGTTGACGACTTCATTCCTGTCGAGTGTGCTCCACCCTGATGTCAGATAATCTGTGCTCTTCACATTATTCTGTTGGACAGACATGACTGGACTACACGGCTTGAGGAACATGAAGTCACTTTTGGATGACTCCGGGGTCAAACACATCTTGTAGCAGTAGGCTTGACGTATGGCACTGGCATTGGCCTCTGTGAGCCCATTCGAACTTGGGGGCATCCGAATAGTAAGATTAGACTTTTTAAGCACCTCTTTCCCTGTTGGTGTGTTGGATCTGGAACAGCAACAGCATCCACTAAAAAAAGGCAGAGTGTACGTTCCATTGGTCGGTCTATCCTTGTATCTCCGCACTGTAACCAGAACGATAATAGCCACCAGAAATGTGAACGAAATGGCGCCTAAGGACACGATTAAGTACAGGGTGAAGTTGGAGTTGTGATGCAGGCTCAGTGACAGGTCACCCAAATCGGGCCGCGATTCTGGCAGGCTGTCCACTAGTGACAAGATGATGGAGACTGTAGCCGAGAGCGGGGGCTGACCATTGTCCTTGACCAGAACGACCAACCTATGCCTAGTGGGGTCTTTGTCACTAATCTGTCGGATTGTTCTAATTTCGCCTGTGTAGAGAGCAATACTAAACAATGTTGAATCAGTTGCTTGGAGCATTTGGTAGAACAGCCTGGAGTTTTGACCTGAATCGGCATCCATTGCATTGACTTTGCTTATGAGATAACCAGGATCAACAGTTTTGGGTACCACTTCAACAGGGGTGGAACCATTTTGAGATTTCGGCGATATTATTACTGGTGCATTGTCATTTTGATCCAAGATGAAAATAGTCACAGTGACGTTGCTGTTTAGGGGTGGGAAACCTGCATCTTGGGCCTGGACTGTAATCTGGAAGTTCTTGAGCTGTTCATGGTCAAAAGATCTCAATGCATAGAGATTTCCATTGTCAGAATTGATGGACACATAAGTGGAAATTGGCATTCCTTGTATGTCACCATCTAGGATCGAATAGGATAGGTAAGAATTTTGGCCTGAATCTGGGTCTAGGGCAGTTACCGAGCAAATAGAAGCCCCTGGTGCATTATTTTCAGTTAGGTAAACAGTATAGCCTGGCTGCTTGAATAGAGGAGCATTGTCATTAACATCAGAAACTTGAACAAGTATAGTTTTGCGCATAAACAATGGTGGAGAACCCATATCTCTAGCCGTAAGAGTGATGTTATACTCAGATACAGTCTCTCTATCCAAAAAATCTGAAGTAACTAAGGTGTAATAGTTCTTAAATGAGGAGTGCAATTGGAATGGAATCAGATTGGGAATTTCACAGTCAACATTCCCATTTTCGCCAGAATCCTTATCTGTGATGCTTATAACTGCAATGACAGTCCCGGGGGGCGCGTCTTCTAAGACAGGTGTGGACACAGAAGTTAAAATGACTTCAGGGACATTGTCATTTTTGTCCAAAACATTCACAAGAACTTTACAGTGTACCGCTACAGGAGATGGCCCTTTATCTTTTGCTTGGACATAGATCTCATGCATTCGAGCTTTTTCATAGTCAATAACGCCTTTGACTTTAATTTCACCTGTATGGGGGTCCACACTGAAAAGCTGACGCACTTTGATTGGAGCGTGGCCGCTGAAGGAGTAAGTTATATCAGCATTGGGGCCTTCGTCTAGGTCGGAAGCGTTAAGTTTAATGACAACTGTTCCCTTGGGTGCATTTTCAGGCAGCCTTACCCTATAAAACGACTGGTCAAACACAGGTGCGTTATCATTCGCATCCAGGACTGTGATGTCAATTTGCGCAGTGCCAGACTTCTCCGGTGCCCCTCCGTCTACTGCGGTCAGAACCATTTGATGTGTGCTCTGTTGCTCTCTGTCCAGGGGAGTTTGAAGAACAAGCTCGGCAAATTTACTCCCGTCACTCCGTGTCTGGATGTCCAATAGAAAGTGCTCGTTAACGCTGAGCAAATACGTGCGAAGAGAGTTGGAACCCACGTCCAAGTCCTGCGCGCTCTCGAGTGGGAAGCGCGACCCGGGCGTTGCAGATTCAGAAATGTCCAGGTTAAACTCGGTCCAAGGGAAGCTGGGAGAGTTGTCATTCACGTCTAAGATTTCCACCTCCACCCGGTAAAGCTCCAGAGGGTTTTCTATAACCACTTGCAGGTGAAAAGAGCACGACAAACTCTGCTCGCATAGTTCCTCACGGTCAATCCTTTCGTTCACAAATAAAACTCCATTCTCCAAATTAACCTCCACGTATTGTTTCTTTGAGCCCGAAACTATTCGAAATCTCCGCGCTGACAGTCTATTAAGATCCAAGCCCAAGTCCTCTGCAATGTTTCCCACAAAAGCCCCGTGTTCAAGCTCCTCTGGGATGGAATACCTTATTTGTCCGTTAACAAAGTCCCACAAAAATGCCAAACAAAACACGACTTTGTACCGCCAGTAGAGTCCTTTCTTCACTCCCGGCGCGTCCATTTGTGCTCCCAAACAAAGGAGAAAACTTGACAGTGTTCTTAGTGCAGCTTTGTGTCTGGGAGAACAGAGAGGAGAGAGGATGTGCACTGGGTTATCGCTCAGATTAGTGCGCGCGGTGTGTGTATGCGCGCGCGTTTATTATTGGCTATACTGTTCCGATTGAGGGGAAAACGACATCTGTTAGGATAATCTATGCTGCCTACTAGCCCGATCAAACCGCGTGTCCCCTCCCGTGGGCTTATCTGCAGGTCAGAGCATATTAATTCAATTCGAGTCGTATCATCTTTTGGAACAGTTTTAATCTGCTGGAGGCATACCTGCATAATAAGATTTAAAGTTACACATAGTTTTGATTAAGGCAGCAGGACTTAAAATATAATACTCACATTTATTGAGGTATTAAATGGCAATGTCATGTGAAAGTTATAATGCCAATAACCCTTTCATATCGCTTCTGTGTGCATAGCTTTTGTTGTAGTGTTATTAAAGCTTTAAATCTACATGATAAATTGTATTTGATACTGCTGAAGGCGTTGCTACTTTTATGATTTCATGTAATAGACTATGTCACTGTTCTTTATGCATTTTCATTTTGAATATACTTTTGTCAGTTGCATGTTAACAGGGTGAAAACATTGAAAGCATATAGCTGAAGAAATAATGTAATGATCATTGTTTAGAGAAGTGTTTTGTACAGTACTCGTTCACAATGGCAGCCAAGTACAAATAATAGACTAATGTAAGAAAGGTGCCTGTTATCAAAGTCCATGTTATATCCTTTGGACAGATGCAAAGAGAATACAAAAAATCCACTTATTCTTTGGGAAAAAAAAAAAAAAAAAAATCCTTTGAATCTGAAGCAAAGCCCTAAGCAAAAAAAAGTCCATAAAAGTGGTGTTACTTCAAATGCACTAAAAATACTGTCAGGTCTCTAAAGATACATACAGTAATTCTATGTCAGTGTTTGAAGTGGGGGAGTTGTAAAGTTATTCCAGAGGGGGGGCTCAAATTCCCAGACAAGTGGAAAAGCCGCCCATAAAACAGCATTTTCAGCACATTTTTGAAGCATATTTCATTTCACATTAATACTACCCCGTTGTTGTATCTGTTTACTATCCACTTCGGTGCGCTCTGAAAATCGCTGCTCCCCTGGTTGGAGATGCAATCTGTCTGCATAGGAACTGGGAGTGCAGCGGCAGCAGATGGCGAGGTTGTCCACGGGCTCATGCTCTTTTTAATTAATGGAATGGAGATTAGAGGGCATTTTCCCTGGATCATTAGTGAACAGAGGAATTAAGACATTTTGTGAGAAATAATCCCAGGGCTATCCATGCCGTGCACATGTGGTTTTCTCATATTGACCTGCTTTTCACAGCCCTTAAGTGCATGGCATCACTTGCGCTCCCCACACACTAAGTAGCCAGGGATAAGGGGGACACAGCAAGCCACACATTTAAGGATCAAAAACACAAAAGAGATTATGCTTGTGTCCCTGTATCCTACATGCATAAACACCGTCCCCACCCACTCACTATAGCTTACTCAAGGGCAAGAACAGACTATCAATCCTCTTGTCTTTAACTACTTTTCAGCTTTTAAACTCTAGGATTAAACTAGGTTAGCCTACATTTCTAAAACACTTAAGAGGGTTAAGTTGAAATACTGTCGTGCATCTCTCCAGACTTAAAATAGCAGTGATATGATTTGCTAACAAGACAATAGGAAATAACTGCTGCACTTAAGTAGTACTATAAATCAAGTTATTTAGTGAATGACTGACTACTTCTTATGTTTTTTTTTATTACTGTTACTGCGTATGACCACTTCTATTACTTATATTACTACTTTCACCATATTATCGCAATTACTTATACTACAACTACCCCCACCTTTACTACCCACTGCTCATAATAATAGACTTCTGCAATTGTTCCATGAGCTAAAAGAAAAACAACGTTATTATATGAAGTAGACAATAATTTCCAAGGTTTTTTTTAGACGTACAATGTATTGCTGTGTTTGTTGCCTGCAGTGAACACAAAGGAAAATAGCAATGTTCACGTATATTAGACCTATGTGTCCCAGTACTATTGCATATTGTATCCATTCACAAATACAATAGAATAATAGACTATTCACCGCCATTTGTCCAATGTGCACAATAACAATCAGGAGTAGATTGTATAGAATAACAAACATGGAAAAAGTGAAAAATGATAACTAACATGTTTTATAGTCTTTCTCAGATTCTGAATCTGCAAAACAATAACGAGCAAAAATCAGGGGTTATTTTGGGTTATCATCCATTTCTTTCTAACACTGGTCATGTGACATGCTCTGAGTGTGGCTAATTATTCTCATTTCAGACTATTGTGTCCAATGAAGCTACTCTAAACCACCTGGAACAAAGAGCCAGAGGCAAAATAGTAACCTAGCTTTCTCATGTCAGTGGATGCTTGCAACGCAGCAGGACTCACACCTCACTAATTTACCTTGTTTGGCTCGATATGTACTTTTCTTTTCAAAGATAGTGAGTGGAGGTCTTGTTGTCCACTTAAGGCAGAAATGGAACAGGCAGACACTGACCAATTATACAGCTTGGTCTGAATATTGCACATGCTCCAGGAGAGAAGACCAGGCAAGACTAGACAAGGGAAAGCTCAGGGCAAGTGAGAGAAACGTCAAGCATGTGGGTAAGTGTGTGAAAGCACCATAAGTCTAGGGTCATTTAGCAAACACCATAGAATCCTAGAAGACATTTTTAACAATAGTAGATGTGTTCCTTTACTAAGCATGAATCATACATTGTTTGCCAAGGTTGTTTGATAAGGAAGATTGGCTTGTTAGTAAGTTAATGGAAAATGCACTGATGGTTTTCTGCTAGTGTGGAAATCTCTAAAATAATGCCCATTAAAGGTGTAACTTTTCTGGTGGAGTGCTGCTTGTCATCATTGGTATGTTATTCTATTTCCCTAGAATGTTCCACTACGCATTATTATTATCATTAAGCAATGTAATTTTCACTGATCATGATCCTCTGAAATCAATAAGCTTATCTATCTCCATGGAGACAAGCAAAGGGCGCCACCAGACCAAGTTACTGGTCAGATTTGTGGAGAGATAAGGTGGATCACAGCAAAAACAAAAGACAAAACAAAACAAACCAACAACAACAAAAAAAACACCTGTAGTTAAAAATATTCAAGACATATACAGGTGTGTTTTGTACCATAAAGTGGAACATTCAAGCAAAACAATAAAATCTCTGTGATCATTAGGTGGCGAATGTCTGTTAACATTATAACTGTTGAACACTAAAATACTAAAATTATCTATATTATGTGCTTAATTCATTATTATAATTCAAACCATATACCACTGTTGTCTTTTATCATGGTATTGAACCTGCATAAATGGTTTGGGTCAAGACCTTCTGCTATCAGTATGGAAATGATTGCATGTGTGTAAGCTCATGTTTGATGTGGTGATACTGGATGAAAGAGCCAAATGAAAATGTTCAATATGTGTTGAACTGGACACATATTTCTAAAGAGAACAAAACAGTAGAAAGTAGAAAAAAGAAAAAGTACTCTCAGAGGCTCAAAGGTATAACACTGAGTTGATGAGATTTCAACCGAAGCCATTTCACTTGGGCATTTTATAAATTTTTGCATTAAATCATGATTTGACTATAGTTCTTGCAGAGAAAGAAAACTGTTGGTTGCAGAGTCTTCACCTTTTCTGTGGCCTTTACAGACAGAGTTGGATGAGATGAGGTGAGGTCAACACCTGTTATTACAGTCAGTCCCAGCGCCAGAGTGACATGAGGTACAGAGAGAGCCTTGAGGGGCAAAACATCTCTGAAACACCTTAACTATGCTCATGGACAAACTCAAAGAAACTAATATTAAAGAAAAGATACAGCTCACTGTGCTGTGTCATATATTCCTATAAACTCAACTACGTATTGTGTGTTCTATTGTGGTGTATCAATGCGCCTTTAGCAATAACCCACACACATTTGAAGGGCACAGTTCTCCATGGAATGTCTATCTTTAGAATTATATTTTTCATTTCATTCTTCTATGAAATATCTTATTAGTCTTTACATAAGTTATAAGAAGAACTACTTTACTTAGCTTCTCTATTCTCTTTACAGCTGCATGAGGACACAGAAACACCTACAATAGCATCTAGTGTAAAATATGAATTCCTAGCTTTTTAATCATGACATTATATGACAATATGTAAGCTCTGTTAAATGTCAGTTTAACAATACACTGCCTACATGCAGACATATAAAATGTCTAAAATGTATATTTCAATCTTTACATATGCACAAACTTTAAAATTGCATTTGTGGGTTGGAGGTAAGCTTTTTCCTTAAGGTTTCTTCTGAAAGTGAAGGCGGATGTGTTGTGCAGTGGTAGAGACACACACGTAGCAGCAGCATGCATCAATAGAGAGCCTGCTCAGCCTGTGTATCATGGTCTGGACTCCCCAGAGAAGCAGTCTGTTAGACAGCCAATTTGAGCATCCTCTTCTTCTTTGCTATATCATTGCACTGCGAGGAAACAAGGAGCACAACAGAAAGGACCTTGAGTGTCCGAACTCTTGTTCACAGAGTTCTTTTGCCTTGTTTGGTAACTTCTTAGTTATTCTCAGTAAACAGCCTTCTCTCTGTGCCCTGGCATGAACTCTTTTGCTTATAGCCACGAAGGCAGTTTGCTTCCATTGGTTAATATTAGTTCTATATGAGGCATTAGGAATATTTGCATCGCTATAATTGGATCTTATATCCAGTAACTGTAATCAGAATACAATCCTATTCCCCATACATTGGGGTAAAAGAGGCCAAGACAATTAATTGACCTGTTATGCTAATTAGCTGGGTTTTCTGGGTTTTAAATCAATGTCAACATTGATGTGATGTATAGTAGGAGATAAAATATTCTAGACATGACACTCTGGTCATCATGATGCAAGAGCCTTTTTTAGAT